TATAACAGAAAAAATATAATGCTTTAAAATGTCTTAGTGGAACATATTTTAGTATACAGGTTTAGCTTTTCCAATTTGGAACTAGAAAGTTTTGTGTGGTTTAGCCTGTGATAGAACACAACTCAGATTTACATTGCTTTTCTTTTTCTTTCTTTTTTTGTGGTACCGGGGATCAAACTCAGGACCTTGCCACTTGCAAGGCAGGCGCAGTGCCATTGAGCTAAATCCCCAGCCCTGATTTACATTGTTTTGAATGAGGATTTATATTATAGTTTAAGTCACTTCTAAATTAGATAATTCTTTTTGGTATATTGGTTCATATTTTACTGGACTAAGTTAATAGTTCTCAATTCACTTGTAATGAATTTAACTTCATAATCTATACCATAGAAGAAAGGGCAGTAATAAAAAAATACCTTGATCTGGAAAATACTCTGTAAATATAATGTATTTCTTATTTGTTGCTTTCCATATAAAGGCCTGGTATATTCAATGTAAATTGAATATACAATGATACTTAGATAAAATGTATTTCAAAATATTTAAGAATACACAAACATGTAATATTGGAACTATATTGCATTTGTGAAGATAAAAGCAATATGACAACTACTACATAAAACCTGATATCTAATACTGATGTTTTTCACCAAGAAAAATGCATATGAACTCAAGACAAAATTCCTTATTGTTTTTCCAGCCAAGACTATAGTCCATTTGCATTTCTTTCTCAGTTGTTCCTATTGGCTTTCATAAGTGCTGCTGAATCCAGAGTCCTCAGTGATTTGAATGGATGCTTCAGAATCTGGGACAATGGAATACACAGCAGATGCACTGTGGTGTGGGTTTCAACAGCAACAACCACGAAAACATTCTTTTCCATGGTAGCCACAGGATAACATGCTAATAGGCCATCCTGCTTCAGAGGAGCTTGATATGAGAATAGGGACAGAGAAAGGGAAGATATTTTCTTCCATATATTAATTTCTCATTGGTTTTTGTGATTAAACTCTCTGATTCGTGATTTAGAAAATGAACTTCATCTACAGTATACTGGGCAAATTTATCTCAAAGAGCTGACCAGTCTAAACTTATAATGTAAGACAACTCTCGACTTATATTGCAAATAATTTATAAAATTAATCAAAGTCATATTAAAAGAAATTTAAGGTCCTTGTATACATTAGTTTAATTTAATATTGAACGTTATAGGCTATATAGCAAATTATAACATACCATAACATCCAAGTGGCGACAAAACTGTAAGGATTTCTTTAAAACTCATTCATTCATGTGGTTTTCATGCTGTTCCATAAAATCAAGTGTTTTGTTGGATATACTAAATATTTGCTGGCACTTATCTCATAGGCCAGGATAACTTTTTTTTTTTGCCTGATGTAAGGTTCATGAACAGAACACAATGAATGACTGTATTGGCCAGATTTTTGATTTCTGGAATAAAGTACTTGATACCTGTAACTTAAAGGAGGAGACATTTCATTTGGCTCACAGTTCCAGAGGTTTCAGTCCATGGTCAGCTGACTTGAAAGAAGAAACAAAATGGTGGAACGGTGTAGCAATGCAAAGTGGCTTGGTTCATGGTGGCCAGGAAGCTGACCAGGGGAACAGCAGCAGAGAGGAAGGGGCCAGGGACCAGATATAAACCATAAGGTCACACCTCTACGACCCACCTGAACACACTGAGAAGTGTGCTTTCCTAATCTCCAAGGCAGCTCCCAAAACAATCAAATTGACAACCTGACTGTGACTCTTGACTAAATAAGCTCTGTTTTTCTGATGCACTAGATGTTGCACACATGTTCTGAATCCCTGAAGCAATGACTCCTGAGCTATTTATTGAATATTTAGTGTATTTTTTCTTGCATTCTTTTATGTTTTCAACATATATGGTATAGGTTAAAAGACATGTATATGTCTAACTTAATTCTAATGTGCTTATATTCATGTGGTTCTTACCATACTGCTCTTTTCTGTTCCTACATAGCACTTAGAGACAGTAATTGGAACAGAAAATCTCAAATTTTTCTTTGGCATGTATATTTATGATTATGTATTCTTTGTGTTCTTTTACAACAGAGATAAAGTATGTAATGCTGTGCATTGAAAATGTATCTTCTACCCTATACCAGAGATCTTCAACCATTAATCTCAGATCAGTCTTCTTGTATTTCTATATTTTATTAACTTTTGCTCTTTGTCAGGCTGTTGTATGGTGCTGAGAAAATAGCACAGAACCACACTGATAAGCCCTTTCCCTAATGAATCTCATACTTTCGAGTAAACATATGAGTAAATAAAAATATTTCTTGCTTGTGATAAAGTTTATGAGGGATACAAATGCAGTGCTGATGATTTTGATAAAGTGAAATAGAGGAGAGCCCATATTTGACAGCATACTTAGGAACACTTTCTATATGTGCACCCATGTTTATAGCAGCACAGTTTGTAGTAGCTATAACTTGGAAACAGCCCAAGTGCCCATCAACTGGAGACTGGATAAAGAAAATGTGGTTTTTCTATAAAATGGAGTACTACTCAGCCATAAAGAATGAGAAACTAGAGTCATTTATAGCTAAATGGATGCACATTGAGGCTATACTCTTAAGTGAAGTAAATAGGGCACACATGTGTAAATACCAAATAGTTTCTCTGGTGTGAAAAACTAAAAGTGTAAATAATGTTCAAATGGTATAACAGATAATGTGAAATAGGAAGAAAAGGTCTAAAGGAGTTGGGGAAAGGAAACAAGGGAAAATAAAAAAATATGAGAAAAAGAAAAAATGGAAACAAAGTCTCTGTAAATAAGGAAGGGTAGAGGGGGTGAAGGGAGGCCAGGGAAATGGGAAGAAAATAAGAACTAAGATACATCATGTGAAGGTACAATATCTCAATGATGAATGTAACTATATTTTATACCTAAAATGTACCAATAAACTTAATGAAAGAAAAATCCCTTATTTTTTACATAGAGTCTTGAAAGATAGAGAAAAAGAGCTAAATTCTTAAAGAGCTGAAGAGAATTGGAGATATAGGAAAAAAGAAAAGAAAAACAAAGAGAATTCTAGGACTGCTTTGAAGGTCAATGTGGTTGAGGCAAAGCTATGGAGGCTGTACAAGATGAGATTAGGACAGTGGAATGATAAACTATTTGAACTAATAAGAAAGTTCTTGTATCCAGTGCTGGATACATGATCAACATAAAAAAAATCAACTCCATTTCAGTAAGTCCACAAAAACAAATTAGAAAACCACAATAGAAAAATTTATTCATATATAATAGCAACTAAAACATTGTATCTGAGAATAAATCTAACAAGGATACTAAAAATCAATAAAATAATAGTGAAACACCAAAAGAATACCTGAATAAATGAAAAGGCACTTCTATATTATTGCAGAGGTGAGAATCAATATTATTATAGATGTTAATTTTACTTTCTCCTTCAAATCTATGCATCAAAATATAATTTGCCTTCAGGGTTCCAGGAGGTAATGTACTCTCTCAAAAATAGCAGTTTAGATTATCTGAAAAATAGATGGCAATTCTACACCTCACTTATATCAAACTTGCTTTGTGTATAACCTAGTTCTACCTGAGGTTTTCTAATACAGAATTAGATCAAATTCTATATCTAAAATTCATTTTTCAGTGTAAAAATATGTAAACTGTACATGTCTTGGTCATTTTGGGCTCACTCCATAAAATGCATCAGGCAAGAGAAAAGAAATATTTGTACAAATGCCAGGAGCTTTTTGGGAGATTTATGTACACTGAGATTAGAATCCCTAGCAGATATAACTAAAACTAAACAGAACTTCTGGCAGTGACAAACTTTCCATTTTGGCGTTGAATTTGTACCTGCCACTGACAACTGCTGTTCACATTTTATCAGTAATATCTGTTGCATAAACTAACAGGTAAATGATGCAGACATCAAAGTGAAGTAGAAAGCATGTAGGATCAACAGATGGAAAAGCTCTATTCTTGCTCTGTTTGTTTCAACTACTGTGAGATCTTGGATAGTTCATTTAGGGTTGAATTTCTTCATTTTGCAAGATTTAAAACTAGATTTGAATCTTTAGGATACAGAACCCGACTGACCAATCAGATGTCTGAAGCAGGAAGGAGACAGATTGTGGGTTAAGGGTGGTCTGTTGTAGAGTCTTGAGGGGAGTCAGGTAGGATTTGGAGTGCGGTTGAATAGTTCTGTTCCCCAGGATCAGGAAAGCTGGACTTAGGAACTGCTAGATTGTCTTAACAATCTCTATAACAGTTCCACCTTCCTTTACCGAAAGCAAGCCCACAGTGTACATCTGCTGATTTGAAAATATTTTCTTGACGTTCATTTCTATTTAGTTCAAACCACTCAACATATTGAAATGAATCAGTCAAGATACTGAACACACTCTGTAGCGGGACGAAGGCAGGATGAGAGGAAGAACTCCCTGGAGCACAATCTAAAACAATCACCCACAGCCGTCAGTTGCTGGGGAGTGATATTCGCAGTCAGAATACTTTGGCATGCAGTAATTAGAGAGAGAGAGGCACAATTTCAACTAACATGTTCTATTATTAGTGCGTTTCAGCCACAGAGTTGCTAAGAGAACAAAGAGAATAGCCTGTCTGGTTACCGTGAATTACTCAGAGCAGCAAGACCTGTTTATTCTCTGCACTAATCCAGCCTTTGCACTGCAGGCTCTGCACAAAACTGCTGTCACCAAGGTGACAGCCACCCCCATGGTGACTGCACAGAGTGATAAACACTAGAAGGGAGGCAAACAGGCAGCTGAAGACAGCACTTACCTACAGCTTTGACCGTGAGCCTTCAAACACCTCTAACCTAAAGCCCACTGCTTCTATGTCTAGCATGGCACAGTATAAAAGATGTACAAGAATAAAATAAGTGATTAAAAATAACCATAGAGACAACAAACCGAAAAAGAAAAATTAACATAGGTAAGATTGCAATATTGCTTACCCGAGTTCATCCTCATAAAGCAGTAGACTGATAGGTAGAGAGGCTAAGTACTTTGCTCAGTGTTACCAAGAGTAGAGACCTGTTCTCTGGTACAAAGTCTGGTGAACATTCTGCTCTACCATTCAGTTATCATAAGTGGAAGAGAAAAGGAGAAGAGATCAAATAAAATGGAAGGACCAAAATAAAGAGGTGCTGCTTTATTTCTCTTTAAAACTATTATGACCTCACAGGCATAAGGAATCAGCTCAGGACCCAGGGTCACCATCTCTCAACTTCAAGCATTACAACATACTACTGAGGACATAAATGGCAGCAAATATGAAACACTTCCTCCTCATTAAAAGACCACGTAGGAGAGTAATTAAAATTGATACTGGCTTCTTCAAGGGGAATGAACAGAAAAGTCAGGAGAAAGAATGTAATTGTTAAGGATATCTACAGAAAATTCATACATGAAGCATTTTTTTCCTTTAAGATAAGTCACATGTGTGAAATATTAGTGGTTGTAGTGGTCAATATAAAATTGTACTGTGTACCATGATTTCTCTAAATAAGCTACATCACTTTAAATTTCGTTGGGCTGATTAAATCTTTGGTTTTTAGGGGGTTTTTTTAGGTACCAGGAAAAATCTTTGGTTTTTAATTCTATTTTGGTGGCTATTAACATCTATAAAATTATGATTCCAAAAATATAAAAGGCTACTCATTAATTCAATGAGTCTCTGAGCAACATTTTTTGCCTGTAACAATCTCAGGCAAGGCTCCAGTCACAACTTACGCCTGTCATTTTCTGTAATTAAAAGTACACAGTCATATTTATGCATTCTACTTCCTAGCAGCTGCAGTTAGATTTAACTGTGAACAAAGAAAACATTTTGACACAGTTAATTATATGCCAGTTCTCCTTTGCTAGCAAATATCAGCTACCTCCTCAACTGAATATAAGTACTTTCTTGTTATGTTTTATATCCTAATAAGAATTTCAGTTTATAACTACAAGGAGTTTTAAACCTAAGACTTCTGTCTAATAACCATTAAGACTTCTGTCTAATAAGCATAAGTACTTAATGAAGATATATGAATATCATAGTATAAAGTTCTGAGCAAAATGTTTTATTGAGCGGGCTAAATTTCAAATGCTTTTAAAACTTTAGATGAGAAGAAAATGGAATTAGGACTTTGATTCACCTTTGTAATAGAGTAGAGATTACAAGTCAATTCTTACACCCTCCTTTTATGTAAGAGCAATGACGCTTTCCGAATGGTCTCAGCAGTTATTGTATTCCATACTGGGTTGTTCATGGATGAAGAACACTTGCAGCTGAGACACTGGACTAAGGACATGAGGAGAACATGGAAATTAGTGGGACAGGGACACTACGGTATTACTATAGAATTGGTTTTTTACAAGAACCCCAAAGCAACATGTGACTAATGATGAGAAAGAGTATTTCCACTCACTGTCTTCCATGCTTTGTAAAAGAGTTGGGACAAAGCAGCAATAACTATGGAACAGGTACTCAGGTCACCTTAAAAAGACCCCTCTCAGACGAGACATTAGAAGGAAGCCGAGGGAAATGTCACTGACATAAGTCCCTGGTGTCTTAAGTTTGTGAATTCATTCTAATCCATATGTTTTTCCTTCCTTTCTCTCTTCCTCCTCTCCTAAATTTCCTTACTACTCAGAATTTCAAAAATAATAAAATTGAGATCAGTGTGGACTAAAGAAAAATGTATTGAGGGGGAAATGCGGAGTGGTGGGATGGTTGTGTTCGTACCTGAATGCACAAAAGACTTTGGTCTTCAGAGAAGCTTATAAAATTCAGCTAAATATGCAACAAGGTCTTGAAATTTGCATACTAGTTTTGAGAACAGTCTGTGGAGTCAAACTCATTTTTCTCACATGTAAAATTGGGGCTGCCTTCTCTCAGAGGGCTGCTGTGAATTCTCAGCCAGACAGTGTATGTAAGGTGCTTATTCTCATATAGGAGCCCCCTTTAAATGGCTCCTCTTTTCATGCTCAATAAACAATAAATGATTAAAAATGTTTTTTTAGTACTATGAAAGTAAATACTTAGCAATTCTCTTACATGAGTGAAGCTATTTAAACTTTTACCTTTATGGGGTGTGTGTGTGTGTGTGTGTGTGTGTGTGTTTGCATGTGTGGGGAAGAGGACTTCTACCTCTAATGGATATTGTAAGCTACGCATGAGAAGGAGTATTGAGGAGAATGTTTACAAAATGATCTATTACTTGTAAGAAGAATACACATTGATAATAATGCCAGAAATTAGACCACAATGACAGCAAACAATTTCATCCACAAAAAATTCCCCACAAGTAAATAACAGCTATAGCTATTTATTCCTAACATGTATATTTTCTGGATGAATGATGGATATGATATGTACAGTACTGCAAAACCCTTCAAGTTTTGTGTGGAGTCACCGCTAGGTTAAATAAAAGCAAATAAATCTATTTTTTGTAAGTCATCCTTCCAATTCATATATCAATGCTGAATCACATTCTCCTATCTTTAGGAAGGCCTGAACATTAGCTTGAGCCGTTGGACTTCTGAAAATCCACCTCCTACATCTCCATTCTTGATACTCGCTTCTTCAAAAATAGTAGTTTCTATAGCTATCAACCATGAGCAGCTTCTTCCTCTCAGTGCCTAAACGTGGCACCCAAAGAGCTTGGGGAGAGCTGCAGTGGCGGTGGCATCTGGTCGAGGGAATGAGTACTGTAACATGCTCTACTGGACCCCGGATCTATTGCCAGGGCTGCATGCTGGCTTAGATCCCCTCAGGGCGCCTCCCTGGACAAGAGCCAAGGGCCAAGATAATTGGATTCTCCCTGAAAATATATCCAAAGAGAGCCCCTACTCCTGGAGCAGACTTTGAAACACTGCATGTTTTGCATTCTCTACAACAATTTTTCTATCTTTTTAGCATGTGAAGAATCCACAATGATTTGCAAATGACATGTGTCCCCCAAGGTTATTTATCTAGGAAAGTTTCAATATGTATACAGTTCGTGAAATAGCAGTGTTTGCATGTGGTATTAAAAAATATATTTGGGGGGGAGAGAATCTCCAGAGTGTATGAAAAAATGAAGGGTTTTGTTGTTATTGTTGTTAAATCTCTACAAGTTATAAGTCCTTATAGATTCAACTCAAACCATTTTCAGAATGAAAGGGATCTGTTTTCTGTCATGATAGTGAAATGCAGTAAAGCAAGGCTGGATTCAGGTATTTAAATACATTCAAAATCTTTTTCTTCTACAATCTTTCCTTTCTACTGGCTCTCATTATTTGACAATTTTTGCAAGTGGTAGAAAAATGGTCTCAACAACTAAAATCATCTCAGTTCCTCATTCGCTTATAAGTTTTGAAATGGCACATGCTGATTTGCTTTCCTTGGTTCATATACCTGCTGCTGGACCCCGTTACCCTGATTGTACAGCGTGACATGTGCCTTTACAAAGGAGTCGGAAGTCTTGCTCACAGCCCCGCCGGCATCTCTTGGATTGGAGAAAGGATGACTCATATAAGACAGAACTGAACATACAAAGATTTCAAACATTGTCTGCAATAGGACCTTGGTAAATTAAACACTGGACTGGCCCATTTTTGTAGGTTCAGAAGACGCTCTGAAGGCATCCTTTGCTTTTATTTCCTATTTGATTGTGAAGCCAAGCTGTTAGTCTTCACTAAGGACTGCAACACACTTGCATGAAAGTATTTTGTCAAGTTTTTGAATCCAGAAACATGTAATTTATCTGTTCTTCCCAATCCCCCACACAGTTGATTCCATGCAAGCAACCCAATGCTGTCAGTAGTTTTTCAAGTTTCTATTTTGTATTTCAAGGCCAAGATAAAAAGGGGGAAAGAAGAAACTAAAGCAAGAACTCTTCCTCTAAAAAATCTCATGTGCTCAGGGATCCAGTTCTGAAGTTGTCAGTGAGGAAAGGAATGCCAAACCTTGCAGCTCAGCGGGCCAAGTTCTGTTCTCAGCCACATGCCGGCAGCTTGCATCGCTATCAATGGGAGGGGTGTGTGTGTGTGTGTGTGTGTGTGTGTGTGTGTGTGTGTGTGTGAACTGAGGACAGAAGTTGGCTGTGTATAAATAGCAATGCAATGGTGAGAATCTCTTCTTGTGCGTCTGGTACAACAGAGGTAGTCTTTTGCAGTTAGTGGCTGCTTCTCACTCCAGTAAAGTATCTAAACAATTTTAAGAAATCCTATCTCAGAATATTTGATGGTAATTATTTCATCTAAAAGATTTCATTCAGGGGTGCTGGGAACAGTATTTGTCTAAACTTCTCCCACTGTCCAATATCAAACTCAAGCCAGATTTAACAATTGGTGGCGACACCAGCTTTCATTGTTCCCTTGGCTAAGCTGTCAATCTGCTAATTGATTGCCTGATATGCAGCTATCTGGGCAGTGGGGTTGGAAGTTATATACTAATTACAGGCTTGACAAAGGTTTCTAAAGCAAAGAGCTTGCATGTGAGGTGGCTACATGACATAGTGGGTCTTTCTGAGCACTGACCCCATCCGCAGGATGCAGGTAGGGTCCCCCGCATCCTTGACTGACTGCCATTCTGCCAGCAGCCCCAGTTTGGTGCTCAGCATGTCAGTGTCAGGCTAAGCCATCTTTTCCTGTAGCCTCCAAAGAGTTTCTTTAGAGCACAGTTACGGGTAGACCCTCACTTTCCATTAGAAACAGATTTCTTTGTGATTTTCAGATGAAACGTTTCAGATTATGAATGTTACCTATAGGCAGATGGCTTTCAAATCTGTCAATCCATACCCTGGTTTCAAACTCCAGGCTCATATCTAACTGGTGGTGGGACATCTCTACCTGCATATGCTATAAAGATCTTAGATTCATAGAAAACTTGTCTTCCTTCCTGCACTCCTCCAATCCACAAAATTCTCCCATGGTCTCCATCCCAGCTAACAGTACCATCTCTGACAGCAGAAAATAAGTAACAAGACAAAATGCCTCATGTTTCTTGGCATATCTAATCAGCAACAAGCCCAATTGACTTTTCCTCTATTTCACCCTCTTATTTGGGTCCTCTGCTCCTGCATGATAGAGTAGATTAGAGTGCAGATTTTAATATCAGCAACACCTGGGTTTGAATCCTAT